CACTCCACCCTGGCAGGGGCCGGCAAGTCGCTGACTCAGCGCCCGACGGCCCGGGAGCCCGGGAAGGGCAGTGCGTGGCGATCAGGGGCACTCCGGCATGGCCTGGTGCCAGCAGCGGTCTGGGCAGCTCCCCGTCGCCCTGCACGGGCACATCCCGAGGGGCAGGAGCGCCAAAGCGGAGCAGCTCCTCGCAGCGGGTCTCCTCGCAGCGGGACACCGGGGCCACAAGCTCCACCTCAGCCTGCGGGCGCAGCGGGCGGCCCCCGCCGGCTATTGCAACGCGGGGCAGCGCCCTCCGGCCCGCAACTAAGTGCCAGGCGGGGTGTGGGTGGCGGGAGGCGACAGTGAGGGGGAATCACGGGATCCCGGGCAGCACTGAGGACTGCAAATGACCGAGGGAGCACGGGGAGGACCCGGAGTCACGCGTGGGGGTCTGGGGTCCTGGTCAGTGAGACCGAGGGGCTGCTCGAGTCCTTTGGCCCCGGCAATAGCCTTCCACTGCCGGCTCTCGCGGAACAGGAGCGTTAGGGTTTCCCGGATTGTGGAAGGCTGGCTTAGAAGAACTGTCTGTCCCGAGATAAATTAGGCTGGACCGGACTAGTTTGAGCTGATTGAAGTGCCTCGCTCCGACTGGGAGCCACGGGAGTCCAATGCCCAGACCCGTGGGGCCCCAGCCGCATGCGCTTGAAGCGGAAGATCCCAGAGGATCCTGCCCAATGAGATCTGAAGCCTCAGTTCCTAGGGGAGAGGCGCGGGTGGGGAGCTGAGGGGTCTGGCTCGTTGGAAACTCGGGCGGAGCCGTCAGTAACTGCAGGAGGATTTGGGGCCGAGTTTGGAAATCTCACCTGTCCGTTGGTCGGTCCATGGTGATAGAGAAAACCAGTCTCAGCACAGAGAGGTCCGTCCCTGCCCCTCTCCAGCTCTTCCCCTCTCCAATTGCTCTGAGCGCCGTGCGGGGGAGGCACGGGCCGGCTGCAGGTTCCGACGCGGAGCACTGAACCGAAGAGAACCCACCACCACTGCCCCGCCGTGCGGCATCCGGCCCGGGAAGGGCTTCGGTCCCTTCCCTCCCACTCCTGTCCCCTCCCCTGTCCTTCAGCCTGCTCTGATCCGGCAGCCCCGAGTCCGACACTGCCAACAAGCCCTGAATAGCCCCTCTCAGCCCACAGGCTCCGAGCACGGGCACAGGCTCATCTGCTTCAGCTCAGCCTTCTCCGTGTTTCTCTCAACAGCAAGGGCTCCCTTCCCTTGGGATTTTCCCTGTGGGACTAGACCGGCACCACGCTCACTTCCTGCACCTCATTCTTATTGCAGCGACTGCCACAGGTGAGGGACCCACCTGAACCTGGACGGGAGACTCTGGAGGGCGAGACAGGGGCCGTCATCATTTGTCTTGCGTGTCCATCTGCCCATAATCCCAGGGATGCAGTCTCCTGTCTCTCTCCGTATCCATGTGTTCCTGGAGCCGGGTGGCTGACTTCCCGCTGACTGCTCTCTCATGGGGACTGGGGTGTCTCTTTCTGCAAGGGAAACACCCAGCTGGGTCTTAGGGACAGAGTCCGGGTTCCAGCGATCTCCGTCACTTCTGCTGGGGAGAGACGACGTGGCCTTTCCTTCCGCAGTCACAGAGTCCGACCCTGGTTTCGGGTTTTTTAATTTGTTTCTATTCATTGTTTTGGAGCAGAAAGAAGGGTCTTGGCACACCAGTCAGACCCTGGAGATTGCCGCTGAAGGAATTTCCATCTGTCCCGAGTTCTTCTCTCTCCCTCCTCCCCCCGCCCCGGGCGGTAGATGCTGACAGTGGCTCTGCTACTCAGTTGCCGACAGACACCGTCCATACTGACTGTGTCAGGAACATACTGCTCCTTGTTCTCCCAGGCGCCCCGGCCCAGATCCGGCTGGTGGAGTCCGGAGGGGGCGAGAAGAAGGCAGGGGACTCTCTCCGCCTCTCCTGCCAAACCTCAGGGTTCCCCTTCAGCAGCTACGCCATGCTCTGGTACCACTAGGCTCCAGGGAAGGGACGCGAGTGGGTCTCCCTGCTCAGCCTCCATACTGGGAGCAACACATTTTACCCCGACTCGCTGAAGGGGCGATTCAGCATCTCCTGGGACAATGTCCGGAGTGAGCTGCACCTGCAGATGAGTAGCCTGCGGCCGCAGGACGCCGCCATATATCACTGTGTCAGGGGCTTGCACAG